ACTAGATATCGAAAAAAAAACATAGAAGCTACTAATTATCATCTAAATGATTTTTAATCATACTTCTTCAAGCTTTTCTTTGTCATTTTTTAAAGATGATGTGTCCATGTTTGTTGATAAGGATCAAAAAGAAATAATTATCTAGAAGAAAAACAAAAAACAATGATTTTAAAGATCTTTTTATTTAGACATTTCTTTCTTTCTCAAAAACTTTCTTTTATTTAAATAATATGAGATGGTTCATTAATAACTTTTACAACACTATAATGAAGGGAATGTTGATCATCAGTTGTCCATCTGAAAACTGTATGATATGGTGAAGGTTGATTGATGCGACTTAAGAAATTGCGAACTAATTCATCCATGTCTTCAATAAGATTATCTTCATGATCACTTTGAGTTAATACTTGTCCAGGCAAAATTGGAATAGGTGTTGAGACGTTTGAAGATGTGGACGAACTTTGTGACATAATCCGAACTTGATTGCTATGTGTTATTGGTGTCGATATTTGTTCATTGTGATTATTCGATGGTGGAGTGGCCGACATTAATATATGAACGAATATCTACAGTATTTCAAACAAGTAAAACATAATTCAGATCATATTAGCAGCTAAAAAGGTTACAGAATTTTATTTGAAGACATGACCCTCGAAAGTAGAAACTTAGAAAAAGCAGAAAAAATAAAAGTATTTAGAAGCCGAGACTAAGATGACGACGATTTGTAGATAATATGTTTTCTATAGAAGAATAATTCCAAGAATCACAAGATGGTTTACGTGTTAAGAATGTTTTAAATGCGGTATAATGTTAGCCCTATGGTTCATGAATTTATGGCCGTAATAAAGCATGATCTTTTTCTTTCTAACATTTTGAATGCATTGTTGACATTTTGTATGGGACATCATCTTTAGATCTGAAATATAAAAGAAAACAGGTTATTTCTCATGATTGTTGTATTCTAAAGAGTGCTATAACGGATAATGTTTGTCTTTTGAATTACAATTAATTTAGGAATATCAACTTTTAGATATTCGAAACCGTTTTTATTTATTAACAGAAGAAAAATAATTCATTTACAAGTGCAGTTTACATAGATATTCTTTGAATGCTAGAATGTTCTATTAACTAGCTGTTCTCCATCTTTGTAAGCATTTCTCTTGGAGGTTTCTTATGTATCATGAAAGTTTCAAGTGTTGGATTCGTACTGGTGGCCAGTCGAACTTTAACATTTTTCATTATTGGTACGTTGTTTGCAAAGTATGTTCGCCACCATTGATAAAATATTTTGGGAAAATCGATAGATATTGAACTGTCGTATCGGTAACGTGGGTACATGACATTGTTATCCCATATTCTAGGTTGCAATACTGTTGGCAATTGAATTGGATCTTGTAACATCATGTTCAGTTGCTTTCCACGTCGTGTTGGTTGATGTAACAATCTTTTATGTAAGCGATCATAAATTTCTTCATTTAATTCTTTTAATACAGGTATAGCATCATTTAAATGGAAGAATCGAAAGAATGTTTTTGAGATAAGCTTTGGTGGATAATTATTTAATAATAGTGACAGATCAATACGAATACACTCTGAATTGAAGTCATGTACATTGGAACAAATTCGGGTGGCACGTAATAAAGCAGCATATGGTATGTTACGAGGAATATGTCGTGGATGATCTGATGTATATGGCAATATATATGGTTCAGCCGCTGGTTTGTGGTAGATAGATGTTTTCAATCGATTATTTTCATTTGCTACAGTAATATCTAAGAAATGAACTGATGTATCGATTTCATAGTTAATTTTTATATTAATATCTTTCTTGTTGGCTTTTTCGAGTTCTATTTTAATTTCATTTGAGTTTTGATTGGTTGTCATGAATATGTCATCAATGTATCTACAAGAAATAAGAGTTAGTAGATGGAGATTTTTTTTCATTTAATTAGTATTTAACAAACCTCCCATAGATTTCTTTATTTAATGCTTGATGTTTGATTAAATCTTGTTCCCATTCATACATATAGATATTTGCTAACACTTGTGTAAATACTGAACCCATAGCTCCGCCACGAATTTGTTTATAATATTTATTATTGTAAGCAAAACAATTGTTATCCAGTATTAAACGAGCCATCTTCATAATATGATCAATAATGAATGTACCAATTCTATTTTGTTGAGAATGTTTAATACAAAATCGAGTTAATGCTTGTAATGCACATTCTCTAGGTATCATAGTATATAGATCATTAACATCAACGGTAATAAATTTTGTTGTCGGTTGAAGATGACCATCTTTGACATACTTTTCTAATTTTCGAATGACATCGATTCCATTAATAAATGTTGTTTCACGAGCAATTTTCAAATAGATGGGTGCCAAAAGATCATTCAAAAATTTCGATACCAATGTAACTGGCGCATGTATACATGCAACAATAGGTCTTAATGGTGTACCAGGCTACAGGAAAATAAAGCAAAAAAGAATGTAAATGATAGCATTTTGATTGTAATACAGTTACCTTATGCGGCTTAGGTAGACCATGATAATGACCTAATTCTAACTTGTTTATGTTTGGAGATATATTTTTACGTTGTTGTTTAGTTAGAACATGTCGTGTTTCAAGATAACCAAGTAAAGTTTGTACAGCATGTAAATTATCTGCAAGAGGACAACGACCACTCGTAATTTCTTGATAAGCTTCAGTTTTTAACATGTATTCTTCGGCTTTTCTTCCAAAATCAGTTGCTTTACCAATATAAAATACTTTACTTTTATCTGTACGACGTATAACCATATCTGATCGTTGACGTAGAATATGTTGAATACTTTTAACTACTTTATATTCACGTTGTGCACGTATTGTTAATTTTTTTGTTAATGGTTTCGAATATAAATCATGTAAAAGATGTTCTAATGCCTGAAATGCTTGTTTTGCTCGTTCATCTGTAGTTGATAATCGATGATCTTTAAGACAATTTTTTACTATAGTTGATATACTTTGATATTGTTCAGTAACAAGTTGTTCGATAGATTTACGAGACAATCGACTTTGACATGGTATAATATATTTGAGACCATTAATAAACATAGACATTTGCTGTGGAGTTAAATTTAAATCAACTTCAATAAATGGTAATGAAGCAGTTATAGTAGTGTAAATTGACATACTGCTCCGACGACTACGAAACTGCTTTATTCGTTTAATGTCGCCGGAGCTTCGTCGAAAAAAGTATGCAATTTATGTTTCAAATATATTTGATGACGTTTTTGCATGAATTTTTGACGATTTTCAATAGCTTGAATCATTAATTCGGGACATAATTGTGATAATTTGTTTCGTAGATCATTAAGTATTTGTTGATGACCACGTATTACGTTCTGTATGGTATCAAGATTTAAAGCCATCAAATCAAATTTATATTGTGTAATTGTTTTTGAATAACTCGATACTAAACTAGCACGTCGATCTTTATCAAGAGCTTGATTTGAAAGCATAGGCTCGATATAATCCAAAGATTTGTCAATTATTTTATCATATGTAGTTGGTAGTCGTCGGAGGAAAATTCGTTTACGAAGAATTTCTTCTTGTTCTTTTCTTTTCAATATATCGAATGTTGTTTGCCATATCTGTTTTGCTATATGTATCTAAAATTCAGAAGAATATAAAAGTTTATTTGTCCAATATTTCTATATAACAAACCTGTTCTTCATTTGGTTGTAACTCATAAAATTTCGTAATTAAATGACGATCATTAGAATTTAATGTTAACATCTTCCTTTTATAATTAAATTCTTGTCTTAATCGTTGTTGAGCATTTTTAACACACTCGTTAATAGCACTGGATAAAACAGATGGATCAATATATGGTTGCCATTGTTGTACATTTTGTTCTAAATTTGTTAGATACCAGTGTAATTCATCCGCTGTATGTTGTAATTGTTGTGTTATTGTTTTCTGTCGTTGTTCAATGACATGTTTAGGAAAACCATATGAACGACATGTATGATGCTGTTTGGCGAAAGATTTTGATACTCGTGGTGCCCATACACCTTCTTTCATACCAAGATCGAAATAAGCTTGCCATAATTGACGTTGAAAATCAATATAATATAAGTTATTAGCTGCTTCCGTCATTTGACGAACCAATTGAAGTTTTTCATTACTATTTAAACATTGAATGATTTTATCACCGTCTTCTACTGCATTCGATAACATTTGTTTTAAAATTTTATCAGAAACTCTTAAATAACGTGGTTTAAATCGTTTTACATAATTGGTTGATACTAAATCGTTATCTTCTTCGTGTTTATTGTTTTCTTGTTGTTGTTGTTCGTTAATATCTCCATTAACTAAATCTAATACTTCTTTATCTGATTGTTGATCTTCTATCGTTGACTTAGTCTTTTTAGGATTCATTTGTGATATTGATAATTCACTGAACGATTGACTAATATGTATGTCATCTTTATTTGCTTCTTGACGTTTACGTTTATTTTCTAATCCTAGTCTATGTTGACTGTTTTTTGTGTCTTTCTAAATAGAATAGAAAATTACATGTAGAAAAAGAATCCTTTGTATTTTCGGAAACAATTATTATACTTGAATCTGTTGTTCTTCCCCATCTTCTTCCGGATTGTCATCAGTATCATCTATCACAATTAAGATATCTTGTTGTATATGATTTGTAGGATTATTATTTTGTTTCATTTGTTGACGACGTAATCTTCGTCGTTGATGCTGTTGTTTTCGATTACCATGGCACTTTTTCTTCTTTTGTTGCTTCTTACTGTTCTCCAAGTTTTGCTGTTGTCCAGTCAAAACTTGTGTTGGTGATAGTAATTCATACCAATGACCTTGAGCATCTTGTGATAAGCCGTTGTGATGAAGAATATTACTAACATCGTTGCTACATCTATATAAACAAATTCATATGTTATAAACATTATAGCTGTTGTGTTTCAATGTCGGACATATCAAAAACATAATGAATTGGATATGATCGACGAGTTCGAGTAAGATAATCACTTGCTGCTTCTCTTAGTTCCACTCGTAAGAGATTATTGAGTATTTCTTCACGATGATTACTATTGTTATTTACAGTTCCATTATTCGTCGTACTATTTTGTGCTACAACTGTTGTTTGTATATTTTGTTGGATCTAAAAACAAGGGTACTAATATAAGTATCATTATATTCATTTTCTATTAAGAAGATTTATTCTGACAATATATTCGTCTCTGAGAACATCTTTGAGACATAACAAAAACTTTTGAAGCCATATCTTTGTTGTACCTGAGGTTGAAATGTTCGAGTTTGTCGCAATAAATTAGGATTATTTGTAAGAATAATAATAAATTGTCGGAGTGGAGCACTTGTCGATCGATTAGTTTGTAACTGTGCAGCTGTTTGTGTACGTCTCGATGGACGTGTACTCGATGATCTCTGATGATGTGAGGAAGACATTAATGAGATAGATTCAATTTTCTACAATATATACGTAATAATTTATACAGCATAACAACTAACATGTTATCTTGTTTTCTTCTCGGAAGTATTTATAAAAATGAGCCAAAATATTCGGATACTATTCATATTATGAAAGTATTTCACAGTTTATTATGATAATGTTCATAGACAAAAAAAAATTATAACAAAAACATTAAAAGAAACTGTTAATTGTCTAGTTTTCGTCGTTTTGAATTTGGCTCGATGGCACTATCGTCACTTCTATAATGGACAATACTCATAGGATTCCATTGAATTAAAAATGGATATTGAATACGTCGTTGGGATCTAGGAATTTGTTTTGAAGACCATTTTGGTTTGCATGGATACTATGATGTTGACAATGTATAGTCAAACAATTTTTGATATTTCTTAAAATATAAATAGATGATAAATCAATTAGTGTGAAACTTATTCTTACCAATTTTTGTTCCATTTGACGATCACTTAGCTCGGTTGTGTTTGCCATGAACTAAATCTGTATCTATAATGTAAATAATAGTCATTGAGAAAAAGGTCACCATTTTCTTTTTATTTTCACAAAATAAAACAACTAAATGGCCATTCTTCCTCTCTTTCCAGTTATTCTGATCAAACACTCTATGAATCAAAAAGACATTTATTTATTCACTGAGTCTTTTACATTAAAATCAGAAGGTTGATTAATCAAAATAACAACATTAAATTTAATTTGATTGCCATGATCAATTGTCCAACGCATGCTCGTGTCATATGAATAATGTCGATTTGGACGAGTCATAAATTTATTAATCAACTCTTTAAATCGTTCGATCAATTCTTCTTCAGCTAATGCTTCATTATGTATGCATAGTGAATCTGGTGAAATATTGCTTGTGATTGTTTGTGACGACGCCGTATTCATATTGCTATTAACCTTTAAGTGTTCGAATTGATCCACTAATTGTGCAGCTTGTGTTGTTGGTCGTTGTCTATTTAACGAAAGTCCATTCTGATTAGCATTGTTCTTTGTTGATACAATCGGTCGTTGACCATTCAAAAGACAAGAACGACAAGAACTTGATGATGAGTATCGATCTTTATTTGATGACGACATATCCAATGAAATGAATGTAACTATAATCTAGAAAAGTTTTGAAAGTCAGTATTAAAACTATTTCAGATAGTGTACTTCGAAAGTGAACAGGGCTGAATTGTGTTGCACAATAAGAAAGCATACAAGTCTATCTCATAAATACTTACCCATTTAAACACGACTAGAACCTAAATTACTTTACATAATTTTATTTTCAAAGTACATATATTGAATAAAGAACAACAAAAACAAAAACAAAATGAGCCTATAGAGCTTTCAAAAATGTACATATATATTTAACTGCCTATTTCATTGTCCTCTTGTAAGGATAATAATGCTGTTGTCGATCAATTAGTTGTTACAATTTCTGTTGATTTTATACTTTTTGGTTGAGGCCGACGTAATAATCCTTGACACCACTCATCACTTCGAACCAACCATGGATTATTCATAGGATAATAACCAATATTTCGATTCTCATTCAAAACATTACCAATTGTATTAAGATTTGATTCAGCATGAGTAATAAATAATGATTCAATAGTATATCGAAACATATCTGTACAAGTTTCTGGTACTGAAAAAATAAAAATAGAAAATATACTTCAATAAGAAAATACATATTCTTGAATAATATTGACTAACTTACATACAGCGACAATTGTAGCATTATATAAATCAATATTTTGATTTGGCAAGGTTCCATCTCGTGTCTTATGAAAATATTGTGTTTGTAATATAATTTGTCGATTGGAAAAGGTATATCCTTCAGGTGGTTTTGGAACAGTTTCAACACAGATTCTAGTATCTTCTTTACATCTTATAGTCCAACTAAGTTCTTCAGAAAAAATAATCGGCTGAATTATTTGTTGTTCAGGTCTTCTTGATTCTTCCAATGTCATTGGTACAAATCGCCAATATTGTGGATTAGCATCGAGAAAGATTTGCATGGCTGTTGGACATTGCGCGGAATGCTGATAGAGTTTCATGCGATCTTTTACTAAAATTCTAAAGTTAACAAAACAATAACAATACTAAATGAAATCTTGACAATTTTGTTTTTCATACTCATTTAATTTTCCTCGTGGTAAATCACGTGTAATATTTTCTTGTCCTAATAAAAATTCATGCATTATTCTATTACCATGTTCACGATGTTCTATATAAAATAAATGAAATATTGACGAGAACAAAACAAAACAACTATTTGTACTTCTCAAACGATCATGTAAACTATTTATTGTTACACCAATATAATCAAATTTACCACATGGACATGTCAATGCATAAATAATATTTCGTGTATGACATGACTAGAAGAAAAATAAGAATTTCTTTATATAAATCATCTAGAAATAGAACAATTTAATGAACGATACATACTGCTGAACAATTTAAAATAGCTTGATATCCACTAATGAATGTATGTTGATGAGCTTGATTAAATTCAATAATTGATTTTTTCGATCGATATGTCATATCATATTGAGGATAGCATAATCCACAATTACCACAGGCAACTAATTCATATCGAGCTTCTGGTTCTTGTAAACAAAAGAGACCTTCATTCAATGTACGTGGTCGAGCATGACGAAATGAACATGTTTTCATATAGAACATATTGACTAGAAAGCAATCAACAAATATATTAAAATAAGACTAAGATAATATCACCAAAAGCATACCATCAAATTGTAAAAAGAATTCTAATGCAATAGGATATTCTTTTTCATCAATGTGTTGAACTTCATGTGGTCGAAGATTGAAGACACGCATCTGTTCATAAGCCAACATTCTCATATATTTATTTAAACGTGTATAATTATAGTCCAAAATAGATATATCAACTTTCAAACGTTCAAGTAAAACAGTAAAGTACATATGATATTTTTCACGTAAAAATGATGGTATAGTTGAATCATAATTGATAATATTGAATGCTGGTTTAAAAGCACCAGAATGTCGACGAGCGAGTTCTTCTTTAGTTAACTGACGAGCTATAATTTTAACAACAAGTATAAGTACTTTCATATATATATATATATATATTCTACAATCTCGGTTACATACGTGGTATATTTGGTAATAATGGATCACCATAATTTTGTTTATTATTATTTGTTGGAAAGCATGGTAAAATTGACAGTCGACGATGAAGATTTGGAAATCGTTCTTTCGTCGTATCTGATGTTGATGCTTTTTGTAAGACAACTAACTCAATCGATATGTCANCACACCCACACCCACACCCAGATCCAGGCCCACACCCACACCCACACCCACACCCACACCCACACCCACACCCACACCCACACCCACACCCACACCCAGACCCAGACCCACACCCACACCCACACCCACACCCACACCCAGACCCAGACCCACACCCACACCCACACCCTCTAGAGGCGATTACAGAATTTTTCAAACCCGTCCATACAAATAGTTAGAAAAGTTGAACACTATTTTTGGTGTTTCTAAATTTATAGAAGTGAAAAATGAGTGAAAAAACTGTCGTTTCTTTTCTAAGATTGCCCGACATCTCGAGAAGAATTTCTGATGAAAGTAGGAACAATACAAACTTAGCACAATGTTTTACATATATAAAAGCTGCCAAATTTCGGAATAGTTCATTAAAGGTTTTAGCTGTAACAGCATAGGTGCATTGTAGTCTCATCATTACTCTAGATTAACAATCCTTTGTCCTTCACTCTCAACCCTTTCCTCCTGAGTTTATATGTTTCCGCTAATAATCTATGCGTATAAATATATATACTGGAAGCATTTTTTCTTTGGTTCTATCATTTTTCCCTACTAGCTACTCATTTTTCCTATTCCTTAAACCATTTTTCCGCTGCATTTACATTTTCTGCTGATAACGTGAGTATATAGGTAACCATCTTTTGTTATAGAAAGCATTTTTCCATTATTTCCTATCATTTTCCCCTACCAACCACGCATTTTTCCTCTGCCATAAAGCATTTTTCCGCTGGAATTGCATTTTTCTGCTGACAATGTGCGTATATATGTAACTATCTTTTCTTATAGAAAGCATCTTTCCATTATTTCCTATCATTTTTCTCTACTAACTACTCATTTTTCCGCTGGAATTGCGTTTTTCTGCTGACGATGCGCATATATATATATAACTATCTTTTATTATAGAAAGCATTTTTCCATTTTTTCCTATCATTTTTTCCTACCAACTACGCATTTTCCCTTTGTCTTTAACCATTTTCCCCCTGGATCTACATTTTTCTGCTGACCATATGCGTATATATATAACCATCTTTTCTTATAGAAAGCATTTTTCCATTTTTTCCTACCATTTTTCCTTACCAACTACGCATTTTTCCTCTGTCTTTAACCATTTTTCCGCTGGATCTACATTTTTCTGCTGACAATGGGCGTATATATATAACCAACTTTTATTACAGCAAGTATTTTCCCATTATTTCCTATCATTTTTCTCTACTAACTACTCATTTTTCGTCTCCCCTAAAGCGTTTTTCCGCTGGAATTGCATTTTTCTGCTGACGATGTGCGTATATATATATATATAACTATCTTTTCTTATAGAAAGCATTTTTCCATTTTTTCTTATCTTTTTTCCCTACCAACTACGCATTTTTCCTCTGTCTTTAACCGTTTTTCCGCTGGATCTACATTTTTCTGCTGACAATCGGCGTATATATATATAACCATCTTTTATTATAGCAAGTATTTTTCCATTTTTGCCTACTAATTACGCATTTTTCCTCTGTGCTAAAGCATTTTTCCGCTGGAATTGCGTTTTTCTGCTGACGGTGCGCGTATATATGTAACCATCTTTTATTATAGAAAGCATTTTTCCATTTTTTCCTATCATTTTCCCCTACCAACTACGCATTTTTCCTCTGTCTTTAACCATTTCCCCCCTGCTGGATCTACATTTTTCTGTTGACAATGTGCGTATATATGTTACCATCTTTTGTTATAGGAAGCATTTTTCCATTATTTCCTATTATTTTTTCCTACTAACTACTCATTTTTCCTATTCTTTAAACCATTTTCCGCTGCGTTTACATTTTTCTGCTGACAATATACGTGGATATGTAATCTTCTTTCGTTATAGGAAACAGTATAGTGCTTTACACTTATAGCTAGGACCATTTTTGTGGTGAATGTCATTTTTCCGGTGGAAATTGTCATTTTTATCACCGATCAAAAAGTTGCCCACTGCTGCTAGAAAATACGTGAGTAAACATCTTACATTTGATATATAGTAAAATAGGTTTATTCTTGTCAGCAAAAAAAAATGAAAACTATTTCTACTCTTTTATTTCGAGAATCATCAAAATAAGCACACAAAATTTCATTAGCATACAAGTTCTCATTGAGGTTTCACAGATATGTGAACATGTAAAAGAAGTAAATGCCCATGTTGTGTTGTTCAGAATGAGATTAAGAATGATGATGATTATTTTTTCGCTACAATTTCATTTAATGTCGTTTTTCTAGGTTGTGGTCGACGCAATAATCCATGACACCATTGATCATTTCGAAATAACCATGGATTATTCATAGGATAGTAATCGATATTGCGATTTTCATTCAAAACATTGCCAATGGTATTCAAATTCGGTACAGCATGTGTAATAAACAATGATTCAATAGTATACCGAAACATTTCCGTATAACTAGAAGAAAAAAAATGAAATATGATTGTCTGCCAAAGGTATTTGAGTCATTATAAATCAGTCACTTACAAACAGCTACAATTCTTGCATTATATAAATCAATATCAGGATTTGGCAATGTTCTATCGCGTGTCTTATGAAAATATTGTGTTTGTAAAAGACTTGGTCGATTTGAAAAAGTATATCCCGATGGTGGTTTCGGAACACTTTCAACATATACTGTTGTATCTTCTTTACATCGTATATTCCAACTAAGTTCTTCAGAAAAAATAAGTGGTTGAATCATTTTCTGTTCAGGTCTTTCTGATTCTTCTAATGGCATCGGTACAAATCGCCAGTATTCTGGATTGGCATCCAAAAAGAGTTGTATTGCTACAGAACATTGAGCCGAATGTTGATAGAGTTTCATGCGATCCTTCGCTAAGATTCTAAAATAAACAAAATATGTACAGCATGATAGAAAAATGGTGATTATTTCTTTTTATACATACTCTTTTGATTTACCTCGAGGTAAATCACGAAGAATATTTTCTTGTCTTAGCAAAAATTCATGTATAATTCGATTACCGTGTTCGCGATGTTCTATATATGAAAGCAAATATTTTCAAAACGAAAAGTCGAATATGTCTACTTATTAAACGATCATGCAAACTATTTGCTGTTGTACCAATATAATCAAATTGACCGCAGGGACACGTTAGTACATAAATAATATTTTGTGTATGACAAGACTATAATAAGCATTTTATTCATCTAGATCAAAATCATTTGTTCGAAGAAAAATTACTGCGGAACAATTTAAAATCGAGTGATATCCAGTAATAAATGTATGTTGATGACCTTGACTAAATTCCACAATCGCTTTTTTTGATCGATAGCTCATATCATACTGTGGATAACATAATCCACAATTACCACATGCAGCAAGTTCATATCGAACTTCTGGTTCTCGTAAACAAAAAAAGACCTTCACTCATTGTACGTGGTCGAGCATGACGAAATGAACAAGTTTTCATATAAAACATATTGACTAGTTAATAATAGAAACAAATAATTCAGAGAAACACTAGGATCTACTTCATAGAGGTTTACCATCAAATTGTAATAAAGAATTCTAATGCAATAGGATATTCTTTTTCATCAATTTGTTGAATTTCATGTGGCCGACGATTTACTTAAACGCTTGAAAGTCGATATAGCAATTTTG